CAGGGGTGAGGACAGGGGTGGCGAGAACAGGGGTGAGGACAGGGGTGGCGAGAACAGGGGTGAGGACAGGGGTAGCGAGAACAGGGGTGAGAACAGGGGTGAGAACAGGGGTGGCGAGAACAGGGGTGGCGATAAGAGGGGCGAGAGCAGGGGTGAGAACAGAGGTGGCGAGAACAGGGGTGAGGACAGGGGTGGCGAGAACAGGGGTAAGGACAGGGGTGGCGAGAACAGGGGTGAGAACAGGGATGAGAACAGGGGTGGCGAGAACAGGGGTGAGGACAGAGGTGGCGAGAACAGGGGTGAGAACAGGGTCGAGAACTGGGGTGAGAACAGGGGTGGCGAGAACAGGGGTGAGAACAGGGTTGAGAACTGGGGTGAGAACAGGGGTGGCGAGAACAGAGGTGAGAACAGGGGTGGCGAGAACAGGGGCGAAAGCAGGGGTGAGAACAGGGGTGGCGAGAACAGGGTCGAGGACAGGGGTGGCGAGAACAGGGGTGAGAACAGGGGTGGCGAGAACAGAGGTGAGAACAGGGGTGGCGAGAACAGGGGTAGCGAGAACAGGGGTGGCGAGAACAGGGTCGAGAACAGGGGTGGCGAGAACAGGGGTGAGAACAGGGGTGAGAACAGGGGTGGCGGTAACAGGGGTGGCGAGAACAGGGGCGAGAGCAGGGGTGAGAACAGGGGTGGCGAGAACAGACAAAACGAGCGATGTCGCTATGCTGATTCATCCGGCAAGCCGGTCATCCATGAAATGTATTTATTGATTGTAAGAAAATCATTGGAACAACAAATGTAATAGGGATTTAGAAATATAACATTTAACAGTTTTAAAAATGTATAACCATGCTATGTGATTTCATGCAATTGATGTACATTTTACGATATTTCATAATAAACGAAACTTCAGTTTGTAAAGGTACTGTCTGTCCGTAAATGACAGGCTAAACATAGAGTTGGTTTCTGTGTATTATTTAGTACTGAACCGTTTGTTAGAATCCAGTTAGCACATATAACAGCAGTAGCGATTACTGTCAATTCTAGTTGTATTCGTAGAGTTTAATCAAACCTCTTTACTGTTTCCATAATGCTTGTGTATTAACAGAATGATTATGTCTGAGATTGCTTGTTTGGAACCGGTCATTTGCAGTCTTATCTTCAATATTGTTGCGCTGATTTCAAAAACATTTAGAATGTATGGTTGTAGAAGATTCAATGGGACACAGAACAGAAAATGTCTACCTTATAACACATTTGTTTAAATGAGAAACCAATTGCTTTGTTATAGCACAAACTCGTATTATAAACCCAATTTCCTGTTGCTATTCTACGAAAGATAAGGTCGTATAAGACTTTATATAAATGTGTTCTATTTTTAGGTCACGCGACAGTCGGTCTGTGCCACACCTCAGATGTATGGTATAGAAGTGGAGGTCACTGTGCCAATGTGAACATGTAATTGAGGTGCTTTCCTCAGTGATCGTTATCCCGTGTATTTCCTATTGCAGAAACGTTCTGCACGTAACGTTTACGTTATGGATCTAGTCGTATAAAGGAAGGAACGCTGTAGAGAACCACATCATTCCTCGGCTTTGTTATAATGTTTGTTTCTTCTTGTCAAAACATATCAATGCTTTTTTACTTATTTAATTCTGCAAAAAAAGCCTTGATAAGTATGCTTTGTTTGCTTTGTTTTAAATGATAAGCAACCTGCGGGCACATCTTTCCTGAACAGGTACGCTTGTCTATAGATCGGCGCGAAGTCCGCCAATCGCATAAGAAATAAAAATGTCCGAAAACAACAAGTATTAGACAATTACAAAACATAAGAAAATGACAAACAACGACAATGAGATAAAATATACTGAATTTTAACGTCATTTTTAAAGCTTAGTCCTTCAGCCCTTTGGAACAAGGAGGCTACTACTAATGATCGAGCTGTAATTGGCACACGAGGAAGGTACACACATATATATAACTCTCAAAAACTGTCACGGTAGTGGAATTGACAACATTTTGAATGAAATCAAGAACAAATCAAGATATAATCAGACAAGTTTGTCGTCTATTATAGTGCACGCCGGGTTATATTGTGCCCCAGACTTGTACATGTTCGTTAAACATGTACAATCACCAGCCAAAAGGTAAATGTCACTTAGATGCAAAGGAAATGAATAATTTATAACAAATATATCTTATTTGAAAATATGGTATACGGATTGTGGCACATTTTTAGTGTGGATTACTGTAATTGATAAACTTTATTGATTGCGCTGCCTCAACCTGACCCCTCACACTGAGCAAGGCGGGTTAAGTGTGTTTGGAGCTGGTCAACAACCCACCACAACTCGCCTTGATGAAAGCTCCTGTCTCTAATTTGTTCTGAAAATTTCACAAGATTCACTTGTAGTTGCCATATGGTTCCTTTATTGAGCTAGAAACAAACAATAAACACTTAGGTCATGTCTGCTCCTAATTAAAGCAGCACTTGACAACTTCCAATAATGAAAATGTTTTAAAAAGAACTCGAGCGAACATTCTGATCCTGAGCTTGACTGATTTGTAAGGGATTGCGGCCTGAGTTGCTTGTTTTTCCAGCATTTTCAAATCCCATGTTATATTTTCCGCAACAACATGTGCATGGTCTATCGTCCAATAGGGTAAAACCATGGTCACTAATCAATGAAAAGTATCGTTACACCGAACAAGTGGTAGACTTGAAATTAATACACATATGGTCCATCGTCAAATAAGTCATGGTTTTAAACCATAAAAAGAATGTCGTTACATCTCCGACGCGGGACGAAACGCGGTAAGAGTGGACTACCGGATGTAGAACGCTGGCGAGAAGGTGACATATAAATGCTATATATAAAGATATGGCGAACTGTTTTTAACCGCATATGGTACACCCGGGAGAGGGAGGAAATATAAATACTATATATGGGTATGGCGTATACCAGATATGGTACATCCGAGATATGTGCTAGATATAGGTATTACACGGTTTAGTGTTTTACCGGATGTGGTACTCTCGAGAGTGGGATGATCTATGCATTCAAAAGACGTCGGAGGCGTTTTATGGTCGGAACAGAACTTGGCAAAATTCTTATTTTTGTACCTCGAATTCCACTCTGGAGGTTAGCATTTCCATATCGCCACATGTACATTTCCTGGTTGCCAGTTCTCTAAGCTAACAGACTCCCACACACCCAACACAAAGAACATTGCTAACAGACTCCCTCACATTCAACACAAAGAACATTGCTAACAGACTCCCACACATCCAACACAAAGAACATTGCTAACAGACTCCCACACATCCAACATAAAGAACATTGCTAACACGGGGTAAATTGTATAGATTGGAAAGTGTTCAAAACAGCTTAACGTTTTTTTCGCAAAATGACGGAGTAACTGAAAGCTACTGTAACAGTTACACAACAACTGACAGGCGTATTATCCTACGAAACGATGATAATAAACTTAATGCAGATTCTACATAGGTGAAACTGTCTCTTTAAGGAACTTGCTTTCGTCCTCATTGCGTTTAATAATTAAAAATACCCACACCGTTAAACCTTCATAACAAGTAGGACAAATACCTAATAATTTATAATCAGCTATATCTAAAATATGAATTACAGCATGTTATAAGTGCCAATTAGATAAGGTAATATAATGTGTCAATTAGATAAGGTAATATAATGTGTCAATTAGATAAGGTAATATAATGTGTCAATTAGATAAGGTAATATAATGTGTCAATTAGATAAGGTAATATAATGTGTCAATTAGATAAGGTAATATAATGTGTCAATTAGATAAGGTAATATAAAGTGTCAATTAGATAAGGTAATATAATGTGTCAATTAGATAAGGTAATATAATGTGTCAATTAGATAAGGTAATATAATGTGTCAATTAGATAAGGTAATATAATGTGTCAATTAGATAAGGTAATATAATGTGTCAATTAGATAAGGTAATATAATGTGTCAATTAGATAAGGTAATATAATGTGTCAATTAGATAAGGTAATATAATGTGTCAATTAGATAAGGTAATATAATGTGTCAATTAGATAAGGTAATATAATGTGTCAATTAGATAAGGTAATATAATGTGTCAATTAGATAAGGTAATATAATGTGTCAATTAGATAAGGTAATATAATGTGTCAATTAGATAAGGTAATATAATGTGTCAATTAGATAAGGTAATATAATGTGTCAATTAGATAAGGTAATATAATGTGTCAATTAGATAAGGTAATATAATGTGTCAATTATATAAGGTAATATAATGTGTCAATTAGATAAGGTAATATAATGTGTCAATTAGATAAGGTAATATAATGTGTCAATTAGATAAGGTAATATAATGTGTCAATTAGATAAGGTAATATAATGTGTCAATTAGATAAGGTAATATAATGTGTCAATTAGATAAGGTAATATAATGTGTCAATTAGATAAGGTAATATAATGTGTCAATTAGATAAGGTAATATAAAGTATCAATTAGATAAGGTTATATAATGTGTCATTATATAAGGTAATATAATGTGTCAATTAGATAAGGTAATATAATGTGTCAATTAGATAAGGTAATATAATGTGTCAATTAGATAAGGTAATATAATGTGTCAATTAGATAAGGTAATATAATGTGTCAATTAGATAAGGTAATATAATGTGTCAATTAGATAAGGTAATATAATGTGTCAATTAGATAAGGTAATATAATGTGTCAATTAGATAAGGTAATATAATGTGTCAATTAGATAAGGTAATATAATGTGTCAATTAGATAAGGTAATATAATGTGTCAATTAGATAAGGTAATATAATGTGTCAATTAGATAAGGTAATATAATGTGTCAATTAGATAAGGTAATATAATGTGTCAATTAGATAAGGTAATATAATGTGTCAATTAGATAAGGTAATATAATGTGTCAATTAGATAAGGTAATATAATGTGTCAATTAGATAAGGTAATATAATGTGTCAATTAGATAAGGTAATATAATGTGTCAATTAGATAAGGTAATATAATGTGTCAATTAGATAAGGTAATATAATGTGTCAATTAGATAAGGTAATATAATGTGTCAATTAGATAAGGTAATATAATGTGTCAATTAGATAAGGTAATATAATGTGTCAATTAGATAAGGTAATATAATGTGTCAATTAGATAAGGTAATATAATGTGTCAATTAGATAAGGTAATATAATGTGTCAATTAGATAAGGTAATATAATGTGTCAATTAGATAAGGTAATATAATGTGTCAATTAGATAAGGTAATATAATGTGTCAATTAGATAAGGTAATATAATGTGTCAATTAGATAAGGTAATATAATGTGTCAATTAGATAAGGTAATATAATGTGTCAATTAGATAAGGTAATATAATGTGTCAATTAGATAAGGTAATATAAAGTGTCAATTAGATAAGGTAATATAATGTGTCAATAAGAAAAGGTAATATAAAGTGTCAATTAGATAAGGTAATATAATGTGTCAATAAGAAAAGGTAATATAATGTGTCAATTAGATAAGGAAATATAATGTGTCAATTAGATAAGGTAATATAATGTGTCAATTAGATAAGGTAATATAAAGTATCAATTAGATAAGGTTATATAATGTGTCAATATATAAGGTAATATAATGTGTCAATTAGATAAGGTAATATAATGGGTCAATTAGATAAGGTAATATAATGTGTCAATAAGATAAGGTAATATAAGGTGTCAATAAGAAAAGGTAATATAATGTGTCAATTAGATAAGGAAATATAATGTGTCAATTAGATAAGGTAATATAATGTGTCAATTAGATAAGGTAATATAAAGTATCAATTAGATAAGGTTATATAATGTGTCAATATATAAGGTAATATAATGTGTCAATTAGATAAGGTAATATAATGGGTCAATTAGATAAGGTAATATAATGTGTCAATAAGATAAGGTAATATAAGGTGTCAATAAGAAAAGGTAATATAATGTGTCAATTAGATAAGGAAATATAATGTGTCAATTAGATAAGGTAATATAATGTGTCAATTAGATAAGGTAATATAATGGGTCAATTAGATAAGGTAATATAATGTGTCAATATATAAGGTAATTTAATGTGTCAATTAGATAAGGTAATATAAAGTGTCAATTAGATAGGGTTATATAATGTGTATATTAGATAAGGTGGTATAATGTGTCAATTAGATAAGGTAATATAAAGTGTCAATTAGATAAGGTTATATAATGTGTCAATATGTAAGGTTATATATTGTGTAAATTAGATAAGGAAATATAATGTGTCAATTAGATAAGGTAATATAATGTGTCAATATATATTATTATATGTATGAACATTTCTCGCAATCACATTGGTCGTATCAGATACACGTGACCAGTCCTCAAAAACTCATGTAGACT